CATATTTAAATGTAGTACTTTTGGTTTTGTTTTGTGCAGCAAGAGGGAAGTAGTCTGCATTTCTCTCTGTCTCTTTATCTCCCTCCCTCACACCCACCCACACACACACACACACACACACACACACACACACTTACAGTACATACAAACAGACTTTCAACAGGCTCCATCCACCACATGGTCACTTCCTTTGCATGATAAACTTTTTCTATCCTAGTATTGTAACGTGCTGAACCCGCAGTGGGTCAGAATAGAACATGGCCTCGTTTTCGGCTGCAGCTGACCACAGGATCTCAGGCACTAAGGTAAATCGACAGATTTTTATGTATCTCTACGTGTGTGTCTTAAAGAATAAATGAAAAGTGTAGTGCGATAATGTATCTTACACTGTGTTTTGGTTAAATAAAAACCAAGTTGTTTTAGAATTGTGAAGAATAAAAACACAAGCTAAATAAATGTTGGTTTTACTTGCAGCACGAGCTTAAAAACTGTTATGAGTCTTAACAAATTTTGTGCACAGTAAAACACCAGATGGGAGTGTGTTCGTTTTACTTTCAAAGACAGACCACTATGGTAAAGCCACTGCATACTGACAGCAGTCTCTACAATAGAGGATGCTACATGCTAATGTTTACATACTTTCCAAATGACAGATTTCCTGAGCTGACGCTGAAGAAAAAACATGGGGAGCCAGTGCTCTGCCCTCAGGAGGGGTAAACCAGAAGAACATGAGCCTTACAAACCTGCCCAAAAGGAGAATGGATGTTTCCACTGCAGTGAAATATAGAAAAAAGTCTTCAGTCCTCCAAATAAGGCTATCTGTGCAGGAGGAATGTGGAGCCATAAAGGCAAGAAGAAACTTCCTCTAAAATTACAGGTTGTAGTGAGAACAGCAGTGATCTGGTACATGTTGAGACACCAAGGTGAGACCTGCATCCTTTTCTCACTGATACTGGAACACTATGTTTATATCTACATAAATAGTAAATAATGTACTATATATATATATATACAGTGAGGAACAGAAGTATTTGAACACCCTGCGATTTTGCAAGTTCTCCCACTTAGAAATCATGGAGGGGTCTGACATTCACATTGTAGGTGCATTCCCACTCTGAGAGACAGAATTTAAAAAAAATTTCAGGAAACCACATTGTATGATTTTTAAAGAATTCATTTGTCTTGCACTGCTGAACATAAGTATTTGAACACCTGAGAAACAGCAAGAATTATGGCTCTCAAAGAAAAAGTACACCTCTAC